CAGCAATAGGACAGGACGGGGCCATAGGGATGGCACAGCTGGGACTCATCCACAAGCTGGAGCAGAGGTGGGTTACAAGTGGCCATGGAGACCCCAGGAGAGGGCTCCACATCAAGCCAGGAGGAGGACAGGGCCTAAGGGGCCACAGGGATAGCATGGGACAGCTCAGTGCCAAGCCAGGGTAGGAAAGGAGTCTGAGGGGCAGCAGGGATCCTGGGAGAGGGCTCAGGGTCAGGCCAGGGTCCAAGGGGCCATGGGGAGGGTCGGCTGGGGCTCTGAGGGGCCGCAGTGGCGTACCCCTGGCCCGGGCGGGGGGCTCCTCGTCCCGGTCGCGGGGCGGCGGGGGGCTCTCGGGCCGGCAGCAGCGCGGGATGAGGGACAGGAACTTGGCCGCTGTCTTCCCGTAGATGTCCAGGTCCCGCACCGCCCGCTTCTGGCTCAGCATCACATGGCTGCAGGGCAGCAGGTACCTGCGGGCACGGTGGCACAGGGCAGCTGCAGGAGACACACGGGGACAGGGACCCTCCACAGGACCCCAGCCCCTTCACAGTGGGGCAAATGATGTGGCTGCCTCACATCCACATGCCCACCGGGGAGCAACTCCCCAGGCCCATCCCGGGAGCAGGCCAGCAGCAGGTGACCCCCAGCCCCCTCACCTGAGCACCAGCTGCAGCATCACATCCTCGCAGTTGAGGCTGAGCAGGGTCCGGAAGAGGCTCAGAGACACCATGCACAGCTGGGGACAGTGCAGGGCGTCAGAGGGGCAGCGGAGCGGGCAGGGGGCAGTGCCACCCGGCCCACGGCAGGACAGGGGACGGGGATGGGAACGGGATGGGACAAGGATGGGGACACTGGGGATGGGACACAGATGAGGACGGGGATGCGGGGGGCACGGGGCTCACCCGGGAGTTGCTGTTGATGCGGCCCACCAGCGTGTCCAGGATGGTGGTGTTGTCGTGCCGGTGCAGCAGCACGAAGCGCAGGAAGGTTTTCAGCAGCGCTGTCTCGCTGACGCTGCGCAGGAACAGGTCCAGGTACGCCGTGCTCGCAATCATCTCCTCCACCGAGGTCTGCAGGAGGGGCTCGTGCAGCTGGGGGCCGCGGGGACGGGCGCCGCGGGGCCCTGCCCACCCGCACGGGCAGCGGTACGGGCAGGAGACCCCCATCCCACGCCTGCTGCCGGGGTCCCTCACCTTGTGCAGCGCCGGCCCCATGACGGGCACGAGGAACCCGTTGTGGACGTAATCCACCAACTGCTTCTGCACCAGTGGGTGGGCGACCTGAGGGGCCGCAGGGGGGTCAGGCAGCCCCCTGTGGGGCTGGGAGTCCCTCTCAGCAGCCCCTCAGCCCCACCTGGATGACGGCATTGCAGAACTCGAGCGAGTTCATGAAGAGGACGAGGGAGGAGACGCCGATCCAGTCCTCGCGCCGCAGGAAGTGCCAGTCATCTCCTCGCACCTCGATCTTGCGGGGCAGGGAGGAGTACAGGGCGCTCAGGCCCGTGGCCAGCACCTGGGAACACATGTACTCGGCTGCCCCGCAGCCCCTCGCGCCTCCGGCTGCTGCACCCAACCGGCCTTCCCCAAACCCCAGCAACCTGCCCCCCACAAACCTGCCCCACTCCAGCGCTCCAGGCAGGGCAGCTGGGCTGGGCCCTGACCACCACTGACCCCAGGGAGTGGCCCCTCATCCCCAGCCCAGCACTGGGCCCTCCATCATCTCCAAGCCTCCCATCACCACCAAGTCCCCCTATCATCTCCAAGCACCCTGTTCCCAGGTCCCTCATCCCCAAGCTCTCCATCATCTCCAGGCTACTTGGAGGCTACTTGTCACCCCCAAGCCCCCCATCACTTGCGGACCTTCTGTCATCCCCAGATCCCCCATCATCTCCAAGCCCTCTATCCCAAAGCTCTCCATCATTTGCAAGCTCTCCATCGCCCAGCTTCCATCATTCCCAAGCTCCCATAATCCCCAGCCCTGTCCTCCACCAACCCCAAGCCAGGGCAGGACTTCCTCTGGGTCTGTCCATGGCTCCTTGCCCCAGCTCTGCCAACAGTGCAGGGTCCCAGCAGCACCCCAGGGAGGGGACATCACCCTGGGGAGGGGAGCGCTGCCCCGAGGAGGGGACGCCTTGCCCCAGCTCTGCCAACAGTGCAGGGTCCCAGCAGCATCCCAGGGAGGGGACCGCCCGCGGGGACGCGTACCGGGCAGAAGTAGGAGTTGTCGGTGATGGACTGGGCCACGGCGCGGTTGCTGGCAGACATGGCCATGATGAGCAGCAGCGCGTCCCGTGCCTGCTGGCCCCGCGTGCCCTCGTGGTGGATGAAGGGGATGAGGAGCGAGAAGATGATGAGGTTGGCGGGGCCCTGGTCCGTGTGGCTGTGGAAGAAGAGCTCCAGGATGGCCGGCTCGCGCGCCACGGAGACGCAGAGCTGGTTGAGCAGCAGCACCAGGCTGTTCTCCAGCGGGGCCGAGGCGGGCTCGGCGCACACGCTCAGCAGGCGCAGCAGCGGCGTCAGCACCGGCTTGTGCCGCAGCAGGGGCTGCCGGGCCTGGCTGATCAGCATCTCGTACAGCTTCAGCTGCTCCACCTGCACACGAGGACACGGCGGGAAAGGTACAGAGACCACCCGGTCCTGCTGTTCCTCCAGCACAACCCAGCCCACTCAACTCGTGTCCCCAGGTGCCACATCCACATGGCTGTGAAATCCCCCCAGGGCTGGGGATTCCAGCACTGCCCTGGGCCATCTGTGACAGTTTTCAGGATGGCTCGTGTAGTCTCAACCCCAATCCAACCTGAACTTGCCACGGGACAGTGCCCTGCCCTTGGCCAGGCTGACCCTCAACCCAGCACCTTCACCCTTCAGATCCAGCCTGTCCCAACCCCGCCACAAACCCCCCAGCAGCGCAGACCCCTCTGCTCCCCTCACTCAGACCTTCCTCTCCTCGGTGAAGTCGCCCTGCAGATGCCAGCACAGGAGGCGCTCCAGCAGGTTCTCAGCAGCCACAAACTCCAGGATGGGCCCGCAGGCCATGTCCCCGTCCCCCTGTGACCTGTCCTTGTCCCCGTCCCCCCAGGGCCGGTCCTCAGCCAGCAGATTCAGCATCTGGTAGGTGTTGTTGCGGACGGCGCTGAGGTCATCGGGGGCCGGTTTGCTCCCGCGCCGCTCCAGGATCCGCAGCACCTGTGGGAGGGGGCCTGGCAGTGAGGGCTGGGGGCTGCAGGGTCGGGGGATCCTCACTGCCCCCAGCCCCGCTCACCTGTGCCCAGTGGTTCTTGAAGACCATGAGGCAGGTCTCGGGGTCAGCGGTGACGGGGGGCTGCAGGCTGGCGCTGCGGGGGGCTCGCTGCCCGCCCGCCCGAGGGGTCAGCTTGCTCAGCCAGCTCATCCTCTCCATCGGCACGGGGTCACACACAGCTCCGGGGCACCCCAGCCCGGCTGGACGCGGCCTGGCACCACCGTGGGGGCACAGCGGAGCGGGCAGGGTGCCAGGGTCCTCTCTCCATGCTGCTGCCAGCGGGCTGCAGGGAGCGGGGCCGTCAGAGAGCCCAGCCCCACCTCACGGCCAGCAGCAGGGAGGGAGGCAGAAGGGGAAGGAGGAGGGAAGCCAGGAAGGAAGAAAGTCAGGAGGAAAGGAAGGCAATCAAGAGGAAAGGCAGGCAGGAGAGACAGCAGTGGGAACTGGGCTGGGCAAGAGTGCTGGGGCAGTGGTGGCTGGAGGACTCTGGATCCCGGTCCTGCTCACACCCAGTACTGGACTTTAAACCAGGAACTGGCCCAGCATGGGTGTGGGGAGTACCCAGCAGCCACAGGAACACCAGGACAGCTGGGACAGCTGCCCACCCCCATGCTCAGCAGCACCCACGGCCGGCGCAGCACGACGGCGCTGCCAGGATATTTATAGTGCCCCGTGCCCCAGCAGCACCAGTGCCACCGCAGGCACCAGCACGGGACTGACACCGAGGCCCCAGAGCCGGCAGCCCCGGCGTGCCTGGGGCAGAGACACACCGCAGGGGCTCCCCAGTCCCCCACCAGCACATGGGGAGGGCAGTGGCTTTGAGAGCCAGTGCCACAGCCCCTGCATGGCGCTTGGGGAAGTGAAAGTGCCATTAAAGACACGCCAAACCACAGGGGCAGGAAGGGAAAGCGGCTGAAGCTGGGGCAGTGGGACACAGCACGGGCCTGTCTATTTATACCCAGCTCAGCCTGTCCCACCCACAGCCAGCGCTCGTGTGGCTGCTAAAGTTAGAGCCACTGAATGCCAGGGCAGCGCCAGCCCTGCCACCCAGCACGGCGGCCCCAGCAGGAACACGGAGCCAAAGGCCTGACTGTGGCACACTGGGGGGTCCCTGTGCAGGGACCCGTGTGACATAGGGCCAGAGCCATGCTGGCAGGACAGGGACACCAGCTGTCACCACTCCTCTCCTGATACCAGTGCCCCCTCACCCAGCCTGACTGTGCCTGTCACATACCAAAGCACCCAGCCACAGGGCACAGCAGGGGCTGTGGCACCCCCCCAGTGTCACCCCAGTGTCACCTGGACGGGCTGTGGTGGGGCAGCACCCTCCACCGGGGCAGCAATTAGCCAGAGACAGGGGGGTGACCAGGGGCCACCAGACCAGGGAAAGGGACACTGCCGGCAGGGACACCGAGGGCACAGGGACATCAGGTGCCACCAGGGCAGGGACAGGGATACCGGGGCACGGCCACCATGGGCAGAGGATGGCACCCGGTGCCAGGAGGTTGTGGGTGATGAGCACCGGCCCCCCGAAGCACCGTGCGGGGGTCACCGAGGGGTCGCCAGGGCGGTCGCCGGTAGGGTCCGGGTGAGGCGGGGGGCTGTCCCAGCCCGGGGCTGCCCGCCGCGCCGGGGCCGCGCTCCCCTGCCCGCGGGAAGTGCTGCTCACGCTCACTTGGGCATCCTCAGTCCCGGAGCCACGGAGACACCGGCACCGGGACGCCTGAGGCTCCGGGGTCACGCGCAACCGGGAGCCCTGGATGCCGCGGGGCCGGGCCGCCTACCTGGGTCAAGGTCGCGGCGGTCCGGTCCCGTCAGCGCCGCACCTGCGGAGGGCAGAGGAGGCGTCGGGCGCGGGGCCGGGACCCCCGGGAGGGCCCCTCGCCCTCGCGGCAGAAGGGCGGCTGGACCTGCCCCGAGGCCCGCCCCGCTCCCCGCGGCCCCCGCTCCCGCTGTCCCCGCTCGCGGTGTCCCCATTGCCGGTGCTCCGGCGCCCCCCCGGCCGCTCCCGGTGCGCCCCGGCGCCGCCGCTCACCGCCCGCCCCCGCCACGGGCCCCGCGCTCCCGACGCCATCTTCCCGCCGCGCCCGACGCACCGCGCGCGCTGGCCACGCCCACCGCGGCCCGGGCACGCCCACCGCGGGCCGGGGACACGCCCACACGCCTCTGTGGGCGTGGCCTCTCCCGCAAAGTGCGGGCGCTCATTGGCTAGGCCGTGAGTGGGGCGGGGCCGGGGCGCGTGGGAACCGGGCACCGGGACAGGCGGAACCGGGACACCCGGCACCGGGTACCCTGTACGAGCACCCCCGGAGCGGCATCCTCAGCAACCGGGAGCCCCTCTGCGCCGGGCAGCGGTAACCGGGCACGCAGGTGCCGGGGCTCCCGGCACCGAGAGCCCCAGTACGGGCACCGCTCGGAACCGGGCACCCCGCCGGCCCAGCCACACCTGTACGGGGGCCCCCCATAACTGCGCACCCCGGTACCGGGTAACCCTGCACCGGATAACCCCTGCACACTGCACTTCCCGGAATTGAGCGCCTCGGAAGCCGGCACCCCGGTGCCGGGACCCCAGAACCGCTCTCCCGGGCACCCCAGAAACGGGCCCTCCCTGGCCTGGGCACCCTCGTGGCAGATAACCTTGCACCGGGCACCCCTGTGCCGGGCAGCCCCGTGCCAGGTGCTGGGACCCGCCGCCGGCTCTGCACCGGGCGCTGCCAGGCACCGGCTGTTGTTCCTGGAGGCCAGCCTGGGCCCCGCACACCTGGCCGCGGCTCCGTGCCCCGGTGCTGCCTGGCACAGGTGTCCCAGGGGCCGACGGGTACCTGGGGACCTCTCGTTGCCGGGACACGCCCGGTGCCGCAGGAGCCGCGTGGCTGCGTCCCTCGAGGAGCCACGCCCGGTACCGGGGCAGGCGGCGGCACCCGGCGGTGCTCAGGTGCAGGACCGCGCAAACCGGGACGCACAGATCCCCGCCGAGAAGGATCCTGCCGGGACCCTCGGCTCCGTCCCGTCCTGCCGCTGGGCCGGGCTCTGGAGCCATGGCCACAGCCGGGGCTGGCACCGGCACCGGGCACGGCACGGGGTGAGCGGGGCACGGCTGCTCTGGGGGCTGGGGTACGGGACCCCCACAGGTGCTGGGGCCTGGCTCAGCCACAGAGCCACCGGCACCCGGGGCTGGGTGCGGGCAGAGGGGCCGCACACGGGGACAGAGCGACCCCCGGTCCCTCTGTGCCCCCAGCCGCGCTGCCACCCCCCGGAGCTGGAGCCTGGACCCCGCCGGGGACTGGCACTACAGGTGGATCAGCCTCATGGTGCTGCCCATCCTTTACAACTGGGTCGTCCTCATCCTCAGGTGCCAGGCGGGGGGTTTGGGGTGCGGGTGGGGGTGTCCTGGCCCCGTCCCAGCCATGCCCCTCGTACCCCAGGTGCTGCTTCCCCGAGGTGCAGGAGGCACACGCGGGGCTGTGGCAGGCCCTGGACGGGCTCAGCGACGCGCTGTACCTGCTGGACATCGCCGTGCACCTCCACACAGGTACGGACACACGGACACACGGACACACAGGCACACCGTCACACAGGTGTGTACACACACACGCACACAGACACGCAGAAACACAGATGTGTACACAGGCACGCAGACACACACATACAGGTACACACGGACACACAGGCACACCGTCACACAGGTGTGTACACAGACATACGCACACAGGTGCACAGACACACAGGTGTGTACACAGACATACGCAGGTATGTACACACATAAACAGGTGTGCAGCTGTACATACACACATGTGTGCAGATGTGTACACACATGCACACACAGAGACATGCGGGTGTGTACCTGTACACACACACACACACAGAGACATGTGGGTGTGTACCTGTACACACACACACATGTGTGCAGGTGTGTACATGTATATACACACACAATGTGTGCATGAACGTACACACAGGTGCACTCCCACCCTGTACAGCCACCCCCAGCCCCACACAGAGGATGTCTGGGTGGGCAGGTGGTCTTGAGTCTCGGCACCCACCACTCAGCCCCATGGCAGCCCAGGGAGCCACCAGTGGCATCCCCAGGGTGCCCACCCGGGGTTCCTGTGCCTCCCTGTGCCCCAGGCTGGGCACCTGCGTGGGCCCCTCTGCGAGCCCTCTCCCATCCCAGGCAGGTCCCGAGCAGCCCCTGCCCTCCAGGACAAATCCCCTGGAGTGCCGTGGCTGCCCTCCCAGGTTTCCTGGAGGACGGGATCCTGGTGCGGGACGTCAGCCGGACGCGGCGGCGCTATCTGGGCTCCTGGACCTTCCCCTGGGACGTGATGTCCGTGCTGCCCACCGAGCTGCTCTGTCTGCTCCCAGGGGTCCCGAGGGTCCCCGGGGTGCCGGCAGCACGCGCCAACCGCTGCCTGCGGGTGCCGCGGCTCTTCGAGGCCTTTGACCGGCGCGAGACGCGCACGGCCTGGCCCAACGCGTTCCGCGTGGCCAAGCTGATGCTGTACCTGCTGCTGGGCATCCACTGGCACGGCTGCCTCTACTTCGCGCTGTCGGCACGCCTGGGGCTGGGCGCTGACCCCTGGGTCTGCCCCGGCTTCACGCGGCCGCTGCGCCGCTACCTGCACAGCTTCTACTTCTCCACGCTGGTCCTGGCCATGGTGGGCGACACGCCGGAGCCGCAGCGCGAGGAGGAGCTCCTCTTCCTCACCGCCGGCTTCCTCCTGGCCGTGCTGGGCTTCGCCACCATCACCGGCAGCATCAGCACCGTCATCGTCAACCTCAGCTCGGCCGCCGCCGCCTTCTACCCGGACGCGGGGCCGGTGCGGCGGTACCTGCGGGCGTGCGGGCCGAGGTGGCGGCCGGCGTGCACCTGGCGGCCCTGCGGCGCGTGGGGCTGTTCCGCGGGTGGGAGCGCGGCGTGCTGCGGCAGCTGGTGCTGCGCCTGCGGCCGCAGGTCTTCGGCCCCGGCGAGTTCGTGTGCCGGCGCGGGGACGTGGGCCGCGAGATGTACTTCATCCGCGAGGGCCGCCTGGCCGTGGTGGCCGAGGACGGCGTCACGCGGCTGGCCGTGCTGGGCGAGGGGCTCTACTTCGGGGAGATCAGCCTCATCGACATCAAGGGTGAGCTCCACGCTGCGCCCCGGCGCTGCCCCGTGCTCCCCTCGGGCTCACGGCCCCTGCCCCGCAGGCAACGTGGCAGGGAACCGGCGCACGGCCAACATCCTGAGCATCGGCTACTCAGACCTCTTCTGCCTGGGCAAGGAGGACCTGGCGGAGGTGCTGGCCGAGTTCCCCCGTGCCCGCGCTGCCATGGAGGCCAAGGGCCGGGAGCTGCTGCTGCGCATGGGCCAGCTGGACACCGCAGCTGAGGCGGCGGCACTGGCGGCCGGGGCCGAGGCGGAGCGGCGGCTGCGGGGGCTGGAGGTGGCCCTGGAGGGGCTCCAGACGCGGGCAGCCCGGCTGCTGGCACAGCTGGAGGCCGGTGCCCTGCGCATGGCCCTGCGCGTCCGGCGCCTCGAGGGACGGCTGCAGCTGCGGGACAGAGCCGTGCGGGACGGGGCAGTGCGGGACGGGGCGGTGCGGGACAGAGTCGTGCGGGACGGGGCGGTGCGGGACAGGGCGGTGCGGGACAGGGCGGTGCGGGACAGAGCCGTGCGGGACAGGGCAGTGCGGGCAGACGGGGAAGTGCCGGACAGAGCGGTGCGGGACAGGGCGGTGCGGGACAGAGCAGTGCGGGCAGACAGGGAAGTGCCGGACAGGGCGGTGCGGGACAGGGCGGTGCGGGCAGACGGGGCAGCAGGAGCGGCCTCACCGCAGCAGCCTGCCGGCCCACAGGGTCCTACGTGGGGACAGGGCCCCCCCAGAGTGCAGGGCTCCAAGGCTCAGGCTGTCCTCAGGACACACGGTCCTCCCCGGGAACAGGGTCCCTCCGAGGGGCAGGGTGCCCCCAGGGCACAGGGTCCTGCCCGGGACCCAGGTTCTGCAGGAGGACGGGGTCCCACTGGGGTGCAGGGCCCCTCCAAGGCACAGGGCCCCCACAGAGCACAGGGTCCCAGCGACATGCAAGGTGCTCCCAAAGCACAGGATAGCCCCATGGTGCAGGGGCCCCTCAGGGCACGGGGTCCTCGTGGCGTGTATGGTCCCAGGAGGGCACCGGCTCCGCTCAAGGGACATGGTACCCCCATGGTAGAGGGTCCCCTCAGGGCACAGGAGCTGCCCAGGGCACGGAGGCAGACTGGGACACGGGGTTCCGGTGGCATGCATGGTCCCGGCAGGGCACAGGCTCTCCCCGGGGGTCCCTCTTGGTCACAGAGATCCAGAGGGGCGCATGGTGTCCCCGAGGCTCAGAGGGTCGGGGTCCCACGAGGGGTGGGGGTGCCGCGGGACTAGCGCCGCGGTGCTGAGGGGTGACCTGCAGGGGGACACAGCAGCCACCACTGCTGTCGGGTGACACCGACAGTTGCTGCTGCGGGACCGGGACCGGGAGAGGAAGGAGCAGGGATGGGGCCGGGTCGGGGTCACGGAGCTTCGCAGCTCGGGACCCCCAGCCCCGCCGGGCCGTCCCCCAGCCACCAGCAGGGACGCGGTGACAGACACCGCGGTGGTGGCCGTCGCCCGGTGCCTCAAGAGCGTTCCCAGCGAGCCCCCCCAAGCTGCCCGACCCGCCCGGGATTCGGGGCGAACCGCACGCCCCGGTACTCCCCGAGCCCCGCTCCCGGTACTCTCCGTGGCCCCGCCCGGCCCCCACCGCCCCGGGC